CAGGAGGGAGAGAGTCTTCTGCTTCCTATATGCTCCCTATTTCTTCTTTGCAGGAAAAGGAACACCCTTTTCTTGGGCTGAACCCAGGAATCTGCCTGAATCCAACAATTGCTCATGGATTGCTGTTGGGTGAACAACACAGAGTTCTTGGGTTCAGATGTCATGAAACAATCCAGGAACAGAGTTAGTGTAACAAGACATATCCTTGCTTCTATGGAGCCACATCAATTTCTGGGTCAGTGTAGAGACTGAGTACAATGTGTGAGCTGGACCTTATAGACAACTTTTCCCAGCCTGAGGACTGGCCCAGATACTGGGTCTTCCATGAAGCAGTGAGCTTCATGGCTGAGTAGAGTTCTGATGCTTAGGTAAGCTGGATCTCTGCAATCCCACTTTAGGGTTCTAAACTCTGTATCAGTGTGATCTCATCTGTTGTGACTGTATTCACAGACTGGAGATGATTCCTACCTGGAAATCTGTGTTTGTGATTATTCTTGATTCTTGTTACCAACACATTGCTTTTATTTGGCTTTTCTCAGCATGGTCCGCTACTTTGTTAGTTAATGGAGTGTTTTATTCTGCTAGTTCTGTTTCTATGTGGTTTGGGAGTTTTATTTGTGTTTTATTATATGTCATCTTAGGAACTGTTAGTTATGGCAGGATTCATATACTTTAGGAATAAATAACATTTAATAATTCAAAGTATGTAACTGAGACAAGATGGCTGGGGTGGGGGAACCCTTCCATTAAAAAGGGGGGGGCAGGGGGAGGTCATGTACATTCAGGAATAAAAACATCGGGACATGGATTCACCAGCAAACTGACCTGTTGACAAGGCTGGAATGTAGGAATGTTTGTTTGTTTTTTTAATAAGAACAGAGCTGAGAAAATAAATGTCTTCCAAAATCATGTGGGGCTTCCTTTTGGGGCAAAGCAGGCATTATTTGATATCCATACCTAATAGTTGTTGCTGCTGCTGCTTCCTTTTCCTCTTCCTCTTTGTTCTAGAGTAGGTGCAAGAGATCTGATTCAGACCCTCTCAGCCCTCTCCCCAACCCCTTGCTAGGGTTTTTATTTGGATCAGGTGCTGCTCCTCCTCCAGAGTAAACATAAAGGTGTAGCTGCTTGACATGGACTCCAAGTCACATTTGTTGTACAATGAACATGTTCGTACAATGAACATGTACGAACAAGGAGAAACTTTTCTAAGGAGAAACAACAATGGAAATTTCTCTGCTCATTGCACTCTTACTTTTTCAGTCTTCTTGCACTGTAGTGAAGGTCACCCCATTTCAAGATATGGGAAGAAAAGGCCTGAAGTGAGATGGGAAGAACGCATGGTCAGCAGGTCAGGACTGCTGGGGAACATCACAGGGAGTTAAGCCCCCAACTGTAGGAAATCAGGCAGGGACCATGTCTCTCTCCCCTCCAGATTCCTCCCTGGTCTGATCAACTGCCTGTTTCCTCATGATACACGGAACAAGACTCCGGGAGTCTTTTCCACTGGAGGTAAAAACAGGAGGCAAAGCAGACGGCCACACCTGGAAAAAGCCACATCTGCTATGTTAGGAGATCCAGAGGCCCGGGGAAGGATCTGGCTAACTCTTCCGGTGACAGAACAGCTTCCCCAGCCAAACTGGGGAGGGAAATGATTTCCCTTTCTCTCTTCACCCGCCTCCCCACCACATGCCCTCAGAATCTGATTGGGACTGGGATCCCTCCCAAACAGGTTTGGGTATAGAAGGAGGAGGGAAAAGTCCCCAGGCAGAAGCCCACTCACACAAAACTGGACTCTCGCCGAGGAACATTTTCATGTTGCAACCTGAGGCATGCCATGCCTTGCCATGGGGACCTGTAGGGTAACGCTTCCATTGCGTGAAGTGGATCTATGCTACTCAAGCACATAGTCCCCATGATGGATGTTTTAGGTGAGAGCTCTACTGTGCTTGAGCCAGAAGCAATGATTCAGTGGAACACTGTTCATCAAGATAATAATTTTGATTCTGGGAATTGTATCTGAATATTGCCAGTTACATCCTTTATCAGGGTGATGATGTAGAGGTTTCTGCAGTATCATATTTGTTTTATGTGTGTGCTATTCATTTTACAGAAGATTGTCTACTGTCAAGGTAATGCTTAGGATTATTAAAAATGTGAGATTGATTTGAAGTTCTTCCCCAAGCCCTCTTTTCCAAAGCAATAATTAATGATAGCTCTATCCTCATCTTTCTTAGGGAGAAAACCAGCTGTTTCTGTTACTGAGGTTAAAAAAGGTTTCTGGCTTGTATTTTCAACTTTTAAAAGACTATCATGCCAGACCTAGGTTAATCTGTCTTGACAGATAAAATGTTTTAGACAAAGAGGACAGATGTTACAAGTTATTTTTTTAAGCTTCTCATGTTAATGGAAGGACAATAATTGTGTGCAGAACTTGCTGTGGTTATCTCCTGTTGGGCTTGTATCTAGAAATTGTAGACACCAGTTATATATATACATGTACATATAGCTTGTATTTCTCAATAGCTGAGTCAGCTGACTATGAAAGTTAAATGAAGTACTGCTAATGTCGCCCTACTAAATAAAATTGTGGCCCTGTGTTCTGCTCAACAACATGTCACTCCTTCAACAGTCCCTGTAAATTACGAGCAGACACACTGAAGAAAGCTATGTGGATGAAGTGATCATTCTCAGCACTTATTTATTAACATTTACATCCTTCCTTATTTGTTAGAAAGTGATGAAGATAATATATATGTTAATATATAACATTTTAAAAACAAAAAACCCCTGAACACTACAGAAAACAAGAACATTTTGATGAAGCAAAACATTAATACAAGTACATCATTTAAGGACAACACAAAACTAGTTGGTATAGCTAATACCCTGGAAGACAGAAGGAAAATTAAATGTGACCTTGACACGTTGAAATGCTGGGCTGATAAAAACAGAATGAGATTCAATAGGGACAAATGCCAAGTTTTACACCTAGGAAAAAGAAAGCGAATGCATCACAACAATACTGCAAGTGAGAAGGATCATGGAATTGTACATCACAAGCTACATATGAGTTGACATTGCAGTGTGGCTGTAAAAAGGGCAAATGCTATTTTAGGCCGTATTAATAGAAGCAAAACTTCCAAATCATGTGAAGTTGTAGTTCCTCTATACTCAGTGCCGGTCAGACCTCATCAGGAGTACTGTGTCCAGTACTTTCTTAACCCTAGTTTAAGAAAGATGCAGACAAACTGAAAAGGGTTCAGAGGAGGACAACAAGGATGATCCAGGGTCTGGAGACAAAGCCCTGTGAGGAGAGATTGGGAGAACTGGGCATGAGAGCCTAAAGAAAAGAGGACTGATAGGATAGCACTCTACAAGTACTTGAAAGGCTGTCACAAAGAGGAAGGACAGGACCTCTTCTCCATCACCCCAGAGTTCTGAAAACGGAATGATTGTCTCAAGTTACAGGAGTCCAAATTTTCTGGACATCAGAAAAAAAGTTCTGACTTTTAGAGAAATAGAAGAATGGAACCAATTACCTGGGGATATTGTGGAATGCCCACACCAAAGGCATTTAAGATGCAACTGGACAGCCATCTCAGAGGGATGGTGTAACTTGATGTCCTGCACTAGCAGGCAGTTGGACCCAATGGCCTTCCTGGTGCCTTCTGTGATTCTATGAAAAGATGTTTCTTCACATTCTTTCCAAAATGCAGAAGAAGGATCAACAGTTATGGTTCTTGAAAGAACTTTTTTTTTGCAGTGCAATACAGAAAAAAGTGCTATCATATGTGCTTGACCAATGTGGCTACTCAGGTAATGGTACCCTCAAGAGGGCCACTCCTGGAAATTTTAATAACTGGGCAGGTTCATAAGAAGGCAGTAATGCCTTAGATAACCAGACCCTAGGTGGCTTTGGACTTTAAAGACTGAAACAGCTTTAAACCAGTGTAAATATCACCAAGACTTTTCTTTTTTTCAGGTTAGTGTAGGTCAGTTTTCCTCAAGTGGGTTCCCTAAACCTGGTTTTGATTACAGCTCACATCAGCCCCTCAGCCAGCAAAGCCAATAGTTAGGGACAATGGAAATTATAGTCCAAACATCTGAACAGCCAGATATTCCTCATCTTTGCTTTAAAGGTAATAACCATGTCCATGTTTGGAGCCCAGGAGCATACAGAACGGGAGTGTAGAGATATATTGCAGCATTTTATATCATGCTAGTTAATGTTTCAAGCTTTTTGTAGTTTCAAGAGTCAGCTTCAAGAGCAGCTTCTTGTAGAACATCTTGTACCAATCCAACCTAGGCATTTACCAAAGCATTAGAAACTCTCTTGGGATTTTTCAGGTCAGCCAAGAATACCATCTTGTCTAAAAAACTGCCTTATACCTAGTCAAGTTGGGTAAGGCTGATGTAGATTATATTGGGTCTCACTTAAGAAGTCTCTCATCTGGCCCCTTAGTTCATGATCTATAAATTTGCTGCATATGAACAAATGAAACTACCTTACCTTGAGCAAGACCACGCATCTGGTTTGGTTGGTTTTCCGTGGTATCAGGAAGCAGGTTCCCCCACACTGAAGTTCCTTTTATTCAGGGGTGGGCAACCTGAGACTTTGTTCATATAAGTTTGTCCTTCCTGTCACTGAGTTGCGGTCAATAGGTGTGGCTAAATCAGGTCCCTTGTAAATAGGTGATAACTTTAATCAAGCTAGAAAGGCTTTTGGGTTGGGTTTAATACAAGATGCACAATTCTTAACATTAACATGGATTAGCTAGTTGAAAAATGTTGTCTTCTATTGTTCCTTAGTCTCAGGCATGGCTGTGAGAAACAGATTGGAAAGTTCCTCTTCCAATTTTAGACAAACCACATCAGAACCCCAATTTGTGGTTATTTTAACATATGATTGGTAAAACAAGCCAGCTGTATAAACTTTGGTTTGAAATTGGCTTGCTCTCAGTGACCATAGATGAAACTAAATGCAGTTTGTCTGGGGTCAGATGTTATGACAAGCTGTAGTTACTCTAAAGTGATAACAAAAATTGATAAATTTTCTTTGTGGCCCCACTAGAGAAGGAGGTGGGAGGCAGTATCATGTAAGCCCAAGACTTGATGCAACTCATGATTGTAATTATAAGCCTTGGTTTAGAGATAGATGAATACAGAACCATTGACTCAAAGAACTCATACATTTAACTTCATAAAATAAGCATGTGTTTGTACAAAGAAGAAATAAAAAAATATTTTTTAAAGGAGCAATGTATTTATCATCAGTAGCCCCACAAAGTTGAAGGCATCGTAAAAATGTTTTCATCAATTCACCAAATGGCGCTTGCATATATGTGAACAGACATGAAATACTCAGATATCCCTACCTCATACAGGACTCCAGGAAGCTACAAGTTCAGCTAAACCTCAGAGAGTTCTTGCTTCCCAATTAAACAAACAAACAAACACACCCTACCAATTTCTCCCTTTATTCATACTGCAGAGTATTCAAGCCTGAAAAGTGTTTTCTGCAGGGACAGTCCCCCTGACCAGGGGAGAATATTTTTCCGATGTTTGCTGGAATATTTGTTCTCACTGAGGAAACATCAACTAACTCATCTTTAATTACGAGTGACTAATCAACTTAACAAATTATGGTCATCTAGCAGCTGTAAAAAGGATGATGTATACAGGGTCCATTACTACTGGAGCTGCTGTGTGCATGTGTTTCTTCCATGATGGTGGAGGACAGGAAGGCCTGGAGGAATGTTGTCCATGGGGTCACGATGGGTCGGACACGACTTTGCGACTAACAACAACAACATGGCTATCCAGAATCCACAATCTTCTCCCAGAGTAGCCGATCCCTGCTTCAGATGACTGCAAATCATAGCCATTTGTCAGTGTGCTATACATTAAGTAGGGGTGTAGAGTCAGGCCACCCCGGGATCCCAGGCAAGCCTTCCTGCAGATGGATGCAATGTCTGCAGTAATGTACACAGAATGAGCTCCACACTCATTCTGCCAACCACTAGCCTCTTTGTCTGGACTCACACCCTTTCCCCCAGCCTCTAATCTTTAGGTGGTTCTAAGGCTGTGATGGAGCTCTGTGGAATCCATCCCTCTGGTGTCTGCAGATTTCTTCTTGTGCTTGGCCCTGGCTTAGAAATTGAGCTGAGTGGAGAGGAAATCTGTCAGTGCTTGTGGAATGAATGTTGCATTACTGGCGACCTTCCTCCGTGCCACATGCCATGTTTTGTGCAGCACAAACAAAGGCTGCTGCATGTGATGTGGGCATGTGACGCTGCTTGTGCAGCATTAACAGAGGACCTGATTCCTATTGTGTGCTGTGCAAATGCTGGCATGCTTACCAGGAATTTGGACTCATAGGCACAACGAAGTGGACCGGAGGCCAGAGAATCCAACAGATTCCCACCCCAAAACAGATCCTTCGTACATCCCCAAGTGGTGTTCTGACTTTTCGGTAGTGTCCCTGCCCTCAAAGGTTGAGATACCTCTTCGAAGGGCTAGTTGCCAGTAGTTAAGTGCTTGAAGCTAAAATATGCTGATATTTTTGGCCTGCCTGCTTTACCTTTGGTCCCACCCATCAACGGCTTGCATAGTTCCCCCACAGGAACATCTCCCAAAAGGTTCAGAATCCCTTCACTGACATCTTTGGGCAGCTCTTCATAGCTACTGCATTTTAATACCAAGAAATGCCTGCACTGGCTTTGAAGTTGGCAACATATCTGTGATGCTGGCCATGAAGCTGTAGCTTCTATATTTCTCAACAACATTCTCCATTCCCTCAGAAGTGTGTTCATAAATCTGTGTAGAGTTAGGAGCAAGGGATGAACTGATCAGACATGGCAGAAAAAGTGGGCTTGAGGAGGGATTTGAAGAAAGGGAGAGATGTCATGCCCTTTGCCTGTTCAGGGAAAGCGTTTTCCAGACATAATACACCAATGGAGAGGGTGTGGACATTTCTGGGGGCAGTTGAGCTAGAAGAATAGAATAGTTGAGATGATTATGAGAAAGCAGAGCTGAGAGATAGCAAGACTGTGGAGAACTTCACAGGCAAAGGCGAAGTGTTTGGAGTGGACTGGGTAAGAAAGGGGCGGATACTAAGAAGATGTTTGCAATAGGATGCTAGATGAAAGATTATGTGACTTCTTGATGCGAATGGCTAAAGTGTTTAAAAATGATGTCCAGATGCTCTTGTGATTCCTGGAGATGTCCTCAGAACACATTAACATTGTTTTATCTCACATATCTCTATGGAAATTTGCTTATGGATGTCAAATGAATAAATTTCTTATTTTCTCACCCACCCAATCCCCAGGAAGCCACTCTATGGATTGTTTCAGTATAACCAGAATATGATTGGACTGGAATCTTTGCCTGATCCTTTGGATACCTGGGAAATTATCGAAACCATTGGAAAGGGGACCTATGGTAAAGTCTACAAAGTTGCTAATAAGACTGATGGGAGTCTGGCAGCAGTGAAGATTTTGGATCCTATAAGTGTAAGAGAAGAGCAAAATTAACCATTTAAAAAGTAACTTGTCTTTTATGCACACAAAGAATGTGAAATTCATTCTCCATGATCAGGAAGAATGGAAGCATTTTGGAGTACGTGGTCAGGTATACAATCACAGAGGATGGCTGAAAGCAAGGTAGCTGTCTAACGTTGCATTCAGTCCCAAGCGAACATAACGATCTCTGGGGGTTTGCAGTACAAACTCCAGGTTTTTGCAGGGTCTTGGGCAAGACCCCCTCAAGGGCCCCCCTTCCTCCTTTCAGGGAGTCAGTCTTCTCACCACCACTGTCCTCAGCTGCTCTGGCTGCTCATCTACTTTCTCATCCTTGCTGCCCCTTACAGAGCACCAGGGCGCAAGGAGGCAGGGGCATCGGCTGCTTCTCCTCCTCCCCACTACCCCTGTCTGGGCCAGAGCATGGGGCAGGCGAACAAGCAGGTTGCAGTGGTGAAGAGGAGGAGCAATGCCCAGAAGACGTATCAGCAGGCTCCTGCTGTGGCCCTCAGCAGGTTCCCAACTGCACCTACCCTTGAGGCAAGCCCTGGCTGGACTCAAACCCAAGGCTATTAATTCCAGTGTTCGGTGCACACGTTGGATTCCACATATGGGGAATTGGCAATTTGCTAGGTATGGCAAACTAAATCAGCTGGAAGAGAGCCAGGAATTCCACAGAATTCCAGGGAATGAACCTGGGATTGTCTGCATGCCAGGCTGATGTTCCCCCACCAATTTCAGCCCTATCCCGTGCATGCGCTGAATCACAAATGTGTATGTATGTAACATTCATTGTGTATATAAGGACATGTAAACTGGCCTATTTATTTTATGGACAGGAGTCCTGACTCAGCACTTTCATCAGTAGTTTTGTATTCTTTCTCTTGCTTTGGCACTCTTTGTGTGTATTTAAGGTATTTATAGATAACACTATTTTTTAAAATAATAAGATTTAAACAGAAAGGAGGAAGCCTCATCCCAGTGAAGGCTACAGTCAAGAAAAAGATTTCATAAAAGAAACCCAAACTGCTTCAGATAAAGGTAATGAAATAGGCAGAATATTCTTAAAATAACAACAGACAGGAAACATACTAATGCAGATGTAAATTCCATTAAATTCAGAGCAGTCTTATACCTTTGGTGCCTTTGACAATGAGCCTTAACCATGCTTTATATTTGTAAATTGCTCACAAATTGCCATATTTCTGTGACTGCAGGTCACAAATCATCTTGAGATAACTTCAGGGGAATTTAAGCTGCCGGATTACAGCTCACACTAATAAATGCAGAGCCCAGTCCTGTGCCCCATGGCCGAAAGCCTCTGAACTCAGAAGCAAAGGCACATCTCCATCACTGCATGGCCTTGTGCTGGGTGTTTTATCTAGATGGCTGCCTTCAGCCCCAGCCTCCTCCTTTCCCCCCATATGCGCCCCCCCCCCAAGCTCTTGTGGCAGCCTGCGGGATGGGCAGCTGCTGTGGTTCTTTCCATGCTGACTGTGAGCCAGGCAGAGGCTCAGCCTTTGGAGTCCCACCTCCAGAACTGCAGGAGCTCAGAATGGGGACTCTGGATATGGCCTCTCAAATGGTGTTTGCTGCCGCAGAGTTATGCCCTAGGGCACAATCCTGCACATGTAGAGACATTAAATGGTCCTACATCTCCCTCCTAGCTGGGGAATGTGGGGGTTGTAGGAATTTTTTTCTGTCCAAACAAGCCCAGGATTGCATCGCTAGTGCATTGCGCGTGTGTGTTTTTTTTCTTTGTTTGTGAATAACTTTGATCTGATGGCTTTCAGTGTATCATTTTCAGTGGAATCTGGTAGTGATAAAAGCACTGCTATTTATAAAGTGCATCTCTCTTTGTTTCTCCTGTTTAGGATGTGGATGAGGAAATCGAAGCAGAATACAACATCTTGCAATTTCTTCCGAATCATCCCAATGTTGTTAAATTTTATGGAATGTTTTACAAAGCAGATCAATATGTGGGTGGACAACTCTGGCTTGTTCTTGAGGTATGATCTTCTGCCTCATTAAATTTTAATTAAAAGACCCAGCCTCTGACCGCTGCTCGCTTAGGCCTTCCCCCTGCAGATGTCCACATCCAATGCACAGCCACTGGGGAGCAGCCAAGGGAAGATGCTGCCCTTGGAATCACACGGAGCCCCTTTAAAAGTGTAATGCACAAAGCGGGGTTTGCTTAGAAGGAACTGTGCCGAGTTGCAGCCAAAGGGAGCTGGATTGGTTGGCTCTTGGCCTGCCTGCCATGCATGAGCCCATAGAAACAGACACAACACATTTGTATACAAGGAACTCTTCTTTATAGTTACTTTTCAGATGGCCTGTCAAGTTACTCTGAAACTGGGCTGTACTGAGAATGTGTTCCATGCAGAAAATTCAAAATAAAGGCTATGAGGGCACTTATTTATTTATTTATCTATTTATTTATTCAGGAAGAATGTGAAGGACATAATTGAGAAACTGCAAATGACTCCTTCCAGCCTAAGCTTATCTACTTTTAGTTCATTCCACTCTTTCAATCGATCCAATTGGCAGCTTAATCAGTTTGCCGATGCTACCAAACTATTTAGGATCATCAAAACCATAAGGGATTGTGAGGAGCTCCAAAGGGATCCCTCCAAGCTGGGAGAATGGGCATCAAAATGGCAGGTGCAGTTCAATGTAAGCAAGAGTAGAGTAATGCATGTTGGGGCAAAAATATGTTGGCTGGTGCTAATGGGAACCAAAGTCCAAAACATTCTGCCAGGCTGATGCACTGTGGGTGATGCCTTTCGCACTCGTTGTCTCTGAGCACTTGGACCCATCATGGCTTAGCCTCCATAGGGAGAGGCTGAGAATATTTTGACAAACAATAAACAAAGTACCAATAAACAAAGTTGATTATCTTGAAAAATCCTTCAAGTGAATGACTGGCTACAATGGTGGTGCTGTAAAGAGAGATTTTGATTCCAGGACCACATGCTCAGGTTCCTGGAAGATGGACTATTGGCAAATGACAGGCTGTACCTCACAAGGAAAGGAAACCATATGTTTGGCCACTACATTAAAAAGTTAATCAGGAGGGCTTTAAACTAACAAGGGGAGGGAATTGTGCAGCATGGCATACCATCACCTGCAAAGACTTATCTATTTCAACGGAGGAAAAAACCTCAAGTAGGGCCAAACACCAATCTCTCAAAAAATGTAGGAAGAAAACCAGGGCATGAAAAGAATGAACTTCAGTGTCTCTATACCAATGCCCACAATATGGGAAACAACATGAACTTGAGCTCATAGTACACGAGGACAATTACGATCTTATAGGAATAACTGAAACTTGGTGGGATGACTCACATGATTGGAATTCTACTATTGATGGATACAACCTGTTCAAGAGAAATAGAAAGGACAAAAAGGGAGGTGAAGTCACACTATATGTGAGAGAGTCATATATCTGTACAGAAATACAAGAACTTAGCAGCCCCATTGAAAGCACCTGGCTTGATTTAAAGGGAGCAAAAAATAAGAAAAAAATATAGTTATTGGCATCTTTACAATATTTACTTATTTATTCTGGCCAGGGCGACTTCTTTTCTTTTCTTTTATAACTTTTCTTTTATAACTTCTTTTATATCGTTTATATTTTTTATTTATTTTATATTATTAATTCTAATTTTATATTGTTATTTTTATATTGTATTGTATTGTATTGTGTTGTAAGCCACCCCGAGGCTTCGGCAAGGGGCGGCATAGAAATGTTCTAATAATAATAATAATAATAATAATAATAATAATAATAGTAATAATAATCTATTACCGACCACTTGGTCAAAAAGAGGACAAGGGTGCAGCCTTCAAAAACAACTTGCCAACATCACGAGGGACTTAAATTTCTCTGATATATGCTGGGAGACAATTTCTGCCAAACATGCCCTCTCCAAGAGATTCCTGACATATGTTGCTGACAAATTCCTCCAGCAGAAGGTAGAGGAAGGAAAGAGAGGCTCAGCTATCCTCGATTTAATACTAACAGAGATGGCCTGGTGGACAAAATAGCAGCCATGGGATCTCTGGGGGAAAGTGACCATGAGATACTCAAATTGTTAACTATAAAGGAGACAAAGGTTAATTGTAGCCAGACACATATTCTGAACTTCAAGAAAGCCACCTTTAATGAACAATGATAAGCAAAGTGCCATGGCTCTTGAAGAAAGAGTATTCTCCAAGCACAACTCTGAACAATTCCAATGAGAAAAAAGTGGAGAAGACAACAGAGGAAGCCCACATGGCTCCACCAAAAAAAAAAAAAAAAAGTGACAACCTGAAAGGAAGAACATGTACAGGAGTGGAAGCAGGGCCATGCCACAAAGGAAGAACATAAACAAATAGCAAGAGATTGCAGGGACAGCATCAGAAAGGCTAAAGCAGGAAATTAACTGAGAATAACAAGGGGTGCTAAGAACAACAAGAAAGCCTTCTTCAGATACATCCAAAACAAAAGGCATGTGAAAGAGAAGGGTGTCCAGCTATTTGAAGTGGATGCAAGAGTGATAACAGATGATAAGGAAAAGGTGGAGGTGTTCAGTTCCTACTTTGCCTCAGTCTGTTCCCACAAGAAACTCTACAACCAGGAGGAAGTACAAGCTGAAAGTGAGAGATGGCAGTCCAAGATTGACAGATAAATGGTCAAGGAATATCTAGGTTCAAATCTCCAGGGCCTGATGAACTCCATCCCAGAGTCATAAAAGAGCTAGCAGAGGAACTACACAGAACCACCGGCTATTATCTTCAATAAATCTTGGAAAACAGGAGAAGTGCCAGACAACTGCAGAAGACCTAACTTTGTCCCTATCTTCAAAAAGGGACAAAAAGAACAACTGGGAACTACAGACCAGTTAGTCTGACATCAATCCCTGGAAAAGTTCTGGAGAAAACTATTAAAAAAAGCAATATGCAAGCAGCTTGAAGAAAATGCAGTGATTAATAGAAGCCAATATGGTTTTATCAAAAATAAATCCTGTCAAACTAATTTAATCTCATTTTTTGACTGGGTAACCTCCCAAATGGACAGAGGGAACACTGTGGCCATAATCTACCTAGACTTTAGCAACGCTTTCAACATAGTGCCCCACAACATTCTAAGAAGCAAATTAGCAAAACCCGGACTAGATAGAAAAACTATTAGGTAGATCTAAAATTGGCTGCTAAATCAGTCACAAAGAGTGCTCATCAACATGCATTCTTGTGAAGCCTATCTCTTCCCAGTCCTAGTGTGGTGCCAAACTGGATGAAGTGCCAAAGCATGCATGCATTCATGAAGAAATAAATAAATAAGCACTCACCTCTGTAGCCTTTCATCATACCTGTTGTCAGATGAAACCTTATGTGGATTTGTGTGTTTGCAAGTCCAGCCACTTAGATTAAGATCAGTTTTGCTGCTTTGAAATCAAGTTAGGTTAAACAAGTAGGACTTGCAACCAACTACTGCAGTGTATCATCCATTCTAATGGAAGAGCTCCTGTTCAGGGTTTCATTCAACCATTCCTTCCAAGTGGGGTATTCTACCAACTCTTTTTCCCATTCCCCCCCCCCCCCCCTTCTTCTGGATGACAGTCCACAATCCCTGACTAATTAGCATGATCAGCCATCATTGGACTGTGTGATGATGTGTGTGTTTTGAGTGGAGTGGGGAGAATATCTACTTAGAGTTTTAAAAAGTTTTGGATTTGTTAAACCTTGGCGTCACCCAAGCATGCAATGGCAAATTAGTTGCAGGAGAGATACCAGTGATGAAATAATGATCTGGCTAAAAGCACATTTATTTATTTGTGATATTTATATGCCGTCCCATTGCAAAAGCCTCAGGATGGCTTACATAAATAAAATACAAATATCAATATAAATAAATTATAACAAAATATCAACATAAAATCCACATAAACAAATCGACCCACTTTGGCTGCAGTTAAAAATATAATAAAAATACAATATTAAAGCTTATTAAAATGTTGATGAAATAAAAAGGTCTTAGCCTGGCACTGAAAAACATATAATGACAGCGCCAGGCGGACCTCTCTGGGGAGCGCATTCCATAGATGGGGCGCCACCGCAGAGAAAGCCCTCCTCTTCTGCCTCCTAATATCTTTCACAGAGGGTTCCTGGAGGAGGGCTTCTGCTGCCGATCTCAGGGGGCGGGAGGGCAAATAGGGAAGAAGGCGTTCCTTTAGGTATCCAGGTCCCAAGCCGTTAAGGGCTTTATAGGTAATAACCAGCACCTTGAATTGAGCCCAGACTTCGGTGGGAAGCCAGTGAAGCTGGTAGAGGACTGGGGTTATATGAGAATAATGCCCAGTCCCCGACAGCATCCTGGCAGCTCTGTTCTGCACCATCTGAAGTATGCGGACTGTCTTCAAGGGCAGCCCCACATAAAGCGTGTTACAGAAATCCAACTGGGAAGTAACCAAGGCGTGTGTTACTGTTGCTAGGCAATCTTCCTCCAGGTAGGGACGCAGCTGATGGATCAGCTGAAGCTGAAGGAAAGCACTCCTCACCACCGCAGTCACTTGAGCTTCCAGTGACAGCTCCAGATCGAGGAACACTCCCAAGCTCCCAAATTTAGAAAATTTTTATTTTACTTTCTCCCCTTCCATTTAACATGTGAAAAACTGTTAAAAGGAAAATGTTTGCAAGAAGCTGTGCTTTTCTGCATCGGAATGTTTCATCTTAGTTGTTTGCAGAACGGCCCATCAATCCAGGGCATAGAAAAATATGTCTGCTGTCTATTTTATATTGCCTGCCAGCAGGAGCTTTGACTGAATGAAGGTTTGAAATGACTGTAACTTGTTGCCTCCCAGTTATCACGTCTTGTCCCTGGTCCTTCCTTCTTCTCCTTTTTTACCTCCTGAAATTTCCATCATACAATAGCACTTTTGGGAAAGGCAGTCTCATATTAGTGTAGAAATATGCTATTTACACTATCGGTGCAGACTTTAAAAATCATTTTTAAAATGTAAAGAATGAGCCTAGTTATTTTTATTTTTGGAACAGTTTTAGCTAACTTTGGGAAGGGCCCTATGTAGCTTGGTGGCAGAGCAGCTGCTCTGCATGCAAAAGGTCTGGTTGCATAGGGAAAGATCCCTGCTTAAAACTGCTCTAGGGAGCTGCTGCGAACAGAGGCAATACTGGGGTAGGTGGACCCACTGTCTGACTCCGCATAAGGCTGCTTCCTGCATTCCCAGTGACTGCTAAAGAGCTCTAGATAAGCAGCAGAGTGCCTGCTTGGCATGCAGTTCATGCCCCAGCATCTCCCCTCCAAAGGATCAGGTGGCAAGCAGTGTTGTCCCTTCTCTACCTGACACCCTGCGGATCCTGAACTGATATAAAGCTGCTTCCATTTCTCCAAAGGGTTTTTTAAACAGTACTGATTGCTCCATCTGTTTGTTTGTCTATCTATCTATTAGTTATACTAAATAGTGTACAAGTATTATTAATAATAAACTCTCTAAGCCTTTAGTATCTTTTGCACTGAACTCAAGTAGTGCTGACTGATTAGAAATTGCATCCAAAATAAGCAACCCAAATGAACAACACTAGTAAAGGGACTTTGAAATGTCACTGGAAGTTGAAAAGGGTATTTTCAGCCATTTGTTGCATTTCTATACTGGCCAATTGCCAAAGCTTTCTCGTTGGTTTATAAAGATTAAAATTTTTGTAAAAGTCATACATGTACAACCACATAAACATACAACACAGAAAAAGAAACACATATATCTAAAATAATTTTGAACCATCAATATGAAAAATTCAAGAAGTGATTAAAACCTCATCATATGCTGCCAAATGCTTAAGAGAAGAAGGTCCTAACCAGGCACCAAAAAGATATGAATATCAGTGCCAAGCAGGTCTCACGGGGGAGATCATTCCATAAACGGGGCCACAAAGAAGGTCCTCGCCCTCACTGCTGCCTTCTGGGCCTTCTTCAGAAGTGACACTTGGAAGAGGGCCCTATGGGTAAGTTCATGACATATATCCCATTGTTTAGGATCTCATCATATTGACAAGGTGAATGGAAGAAAGCTCATAAAGAACCAAGACAGTGGATTTCATGGGGATTTGCTTTATCATGAGATGAATAGAGAGATCTTTGAGGATATGGAAGCTCCGTGTGCAAACTAGCCTGTCTGCATTCATAAGAAACCTTTGAATTGTGGCCATTGGGCATGACCTAGAGCAACTTGTGCCCTCCAGGTTTTTGGACTACAGCTTCCATAACCCCTGCCCATGGGGGCAGATAGGAGATGAAGTCTGAAAACAGCAGGAGGAAGGCGGAGCTGGAGTTTATACATGCATGTTGTCTTTGTCCTTGTTTATGCAACCAGCATGCATTGGGAAAACCTTGGATCCGTGTGGCATTTTTCATCCACAGACAAGAGTAGGAAGCTCCTGATCTTTACTGGATACATAGGAACATAGGATGCAGGCCATTGGTCCATCTAGCCCCATTTAGTTAGCACTGACTGGCAGTGACTCTCCAGGCTTTAGGTAGATGGTTTCCTAGCTCTCTCTGGAGTTCCAGAGATCGAACCTGGGACCTGCTGCATGCTAAGCAGGAGCTCTACTACCAAGCTATAGCCTCTCCATGCCAGCTCACGGCATCCATTTGGAAACAGGAGCTGTGCACATCCGTAGTGTCTCATTCCACTGCATGTGCATCCATCCTGTCCAGGTGGAACTCTGATACTGCTGCAGGTCTGTGAAGCAGCAGTCCCCAGGCTAAACAACTCTCCTTCTCTCTTTCCACTCCCACCCCTTTCACAGCTGTGCAATGGAGGCTCTGTCACAGACCTCGTCAAAGGCCTGCTGAAGAGTGGCCAACGATTGGATGAAGCTATAATCTCATACATCTTATATGGTGCTCTCCTGGTAAGGATGCTCATTAAGCCTCTAATGACAGCAGAGGGTGCAATTTACCCATCTGATACATTTTCCATGGCTAAGTGATGGTGCGGCTCACTGTAATATGCCGGCTGCTAAAACAGCAGGGAGCTGGTTTTGAGGATGTGATACAGTGCACAGGTATTTCTACAATATGAGTGCAGATTGTTTTGATTATGCTCCCTCACATTAGAAGGATTGCTTTTAATGTGGGAGCAAGCATCTTATTCCTCTTTCTCTTTTCTTCTCCTTGATGGTACCCAGGGCCTTCAGCACTTACATAACAACCGAATCATTCATCGTGATGTCAAGGGGAACAACATTCTCCTGACAACAGAAGGAGGAGTCAAGCTTGTTGACTTTGGTAATAATGGCTTCTTTCTCCCTTCCCCTCCCCTCCCCTCCTTCCTTTCACTTGTGACTGTACAGTTTAGCCCAAGGCATTTATTTTGGTGGCATGAGAAAAGACAGCTTTCCGCCCAAGGGCCAAATTGCACATGAGTCGAATCATATTTCAAGCCTTACTTACATTTCACTAATTTTGAGTGAAAGGTTGCTTTTCACAAATTCCCAATGCTGAATCCAGCAGTGGGGTATTAGCATCCAGAATGGGGCAAGGAATAACCCTCTCCTTTGTGCAGACGCTCCCCCACCAAATTACCTCTTCTTGCCTCTGTAATTAAGCAAAAGAAGGGAGAGGTAGTCATGCACCAGACAGGAAGTGTGGCATGTAGTTTGGCTCTCAGCAAGCTCGTTAGGGGGACCCATAAATAGCAGGGGTAGGAGGCTTTGAACAATGCACAGAAATGAGACTGCAGCTGAAGCAAATGTTTGGAGGCAATGTACAACCCAAAAGCAAACTAAGCCGCTGCGGCTATCTGTACACATCTCGGTGAATCAAGCAGCAACAGTAACTGATGTTTACAGAGGAGAAGAATAAACCCAACCCCTAGTCTTTCCTTTCTGATCACTACCAGCACCATTTATCTTAGCCGGGCCATGTTCATGCAGGAGCTGGGTCAGGCCAGGGAGCACCTGTACCACTTCCTGCTCTCATCCCGCTAGTCCCTCTGGCTCGGAAGTGCAGAACCAGACACACAGCCAACCAGACCTGAAGTGTTCACAGGGAGGCTACCGACATGGGTGCATGTCGGGAGCAGTTTATCTGGTCTAGAGGCATTTTGAAGACACCATTCTAAACTGTTTTTATTTAACTCTATTTCTGCAACCATGTTATCATGTATATACGTTCACAAAATTCACTAAGCAGGTTCAACCATTTTTATAGTTCTTGCTACCAAAGAGTAAAAAAAGGTTTAAAATCCTTTTTAAAGGATTTTCCTCAAAAGACTTTGCTTTGTTGCTCTTCTCTGAATTTATTCTAATTTATCTGAAGCCTTAACGTGTGATGTTCCAAACTGAACACAGTGTTTTGAGGTGAGGCCTGATGAGTGCAGAGTAGAGTGGAAGTATTGCTTTATGCAATTCTGAAACTATACTTCTATTGATGCAACTTAAAATTGCATTTGGTATTTGTATGGCTACATTGTATTCAGCTTGTGATTAACCATCATTCCAAAATCCTTTTTACCAATACTAGTGCCAAGCCAGGTATCTCCCACTTTATACCCATGCATTTGACATGATTTTTCCTAAATGAAGAACTTTCCATTTGTTTCTGTTAAATTTCATTCTGTTATTTTCCACCCAGTCTTGCAGCCTCTCATGATCATCCTGAATTTTATTTCTGTCCTCTGTGGTATTTGTTATCCCACCAAACATGTATCATCTGCACATTTGACAAACATTCTCAAGGCTTTTCTGAAGCTTCTGTAATATATTTAATTATTTATATGCTTTTTAAAAAAAAGTTAAGGGGAGAGAGAGAAAACTGGAGGGTGACCCCACTCTGGCTGTGCTGTTCAGTGCAAAACCTCTAACTAGAGCCAGATCTGACTTTCCAGGGCTCCTAATCCGTCTCCCTTCCCTCTGTTTCCCTTTCTCTAAAGCACCAATAATTTGCTGTTTTTCCAGCAGGTTCCCCTCCTGCCCCTACCATTCTGGAGGTTAGAAACACCTCGGTTAAGGCTTAGTTATTGGCAGTAAGAGCTTTAAATTAAAATATGTTGGTATTTTTTTCACCCCAGCCCTTTTGCCTTTGGCCTCACCTATCACTGGAATTCATCCCTCTTCTCTCTGAAACCAAGTTTGACCCTCAGGTTGAAAAGGGTTCAATGTAGCTGCTGTGCTTCCATAGCTGGATAGGAGCAACTGTTCATAGAAATAATGCAGGGAAGGTTTTGTACAGACAACAGTGCAAGCAGTCATCTCCCTCCAATCGGGATTTTAAATAATATCCTTTCCTAGGGAAAGAAGGCATCCTTCTTTTTCAGACGGTTGTAACTAGCCTTCAGCACATTCATTCTCTCTCAGCAGAAGGTAAAGTGGCCCTCTGGGTCCAAAAGCTAACAGATTCATTTAATTTGCAATTACAGCTGTTATAGATATGTGACTGAAATGGGAAGGCTCCATAAAAGGGTAGAAAAGAGATGGAAAAGACTACTTGGCAAGACATTTTACCTGTGGATAAATTTGCTGATTTCTTGATTAGGTCAAGTAGAAATAATTTTAAACACACATAGTACAGATAGTAAAATTATGACCAAGACGTTACCAGGATAACACAAAGACGGCTGCAGCCCTACTTACATTTCTCTGGGAGTGAGCTGTATTGAATTCAGTAAATCTGTATGCATGGGTCTGAGTAGAAATATTAAAGTGGATTGCGCACCACATGCCATGAAATGCATTACTTTCAATCTATGTGGTTTATTCAAAACACTCCCCACAAAATGCAATCTACTGCTTTATATGATAATCAAATGTAGCCCTGCATTACTGCTAATTTTCTGGTACTTTAAAAGTAGCATTATTAAAAGAAAAGAGATATAAGCGCTGCAGTTGTGAGAGCAGACACCACTTTATTAGCAGGAAGGCAGAGAAAATCTGTATTGAGGAATAGTCCAAACACTCAGTTTTAAGTAGCGATTGGACAAGCACCTTCTTTAGCAACCTCTTTGGCACCAAATGGGAGTGGAAACCATTTTTTATTTGATGTAGTCTTCTTGGGATAATAATTAGTGCTCTTACTGCTGCCTACTACACTGAGCTGTACAGAAAAAACCCTAGCAGGGCCAAACAAAACAAGCAGGTCAGAGGGAGGAACTTAGAAAGCAAAAAGCATTGACTGAATAGCAGCTTTCAATATTTTGCACCGAATCACCATGTTATATACACAATAGCATGTAAGAGCCAAAATTAAGTCAGGACAGGAAGCTATTTCAGCAATCAATTGGCCATACATTTTATAGAGAAGAGGTAGCTGAAAAGGGTTTGTTTTTTTGTTTACTGGCATATGATTTAGTTGAGAACTTACTTGTGAAACATTCAACAGCACAAATGGTTGTTTGTCTGATAAAAATGAAACCTGTTTTTCAGTTTGAAACAGAAGCAAAATACAGTGTCCAGTTTACAATTTCAATAATACTGTCAATTCAATCCAGAAAATGCCCTTTTCTCTCTCTCTCTCTCTCTCTCTGGAATGGACAAGATTCACACAAAGATACAAAGGCCTCTTCTTGGAAATACCCAAGATTAAATTGTAAAGCAGCAATAAAGTATATATTTTAAGAGACCTATGATGGCTATATTTCATGTCCACTCTTGAATAGAGCCACTAAATTGTTCTAAACACTACTTGGGCTTGTCCTGTACTCACCTGAGAGTAAGGCCCAGTGAGTAAGGATGAATAAACAAGCATAGGATTTAACTGACACCAGCCAGAGATAAATATGGTTCCAATATTGCATCTGTTCTAAAACGTGTGTGTGTGTAAGGGTGGGGGGAGGGTTAAACTGGTTCAATGCTATTGAGGAGGATTTAATGTAGTTTCATGAGCAGGACTACATTAATAGAGGGTTACCTCTAATGGTGGCTTTGCTCTAGAGAATAGCATTTCCTCAAGGAAAGAAACCTGTTTTTCCTGATTTCTTCCTCCTACTGCAGGCTTCCATTTCATGTCCTATTCCAGAGAGCCCTTCCAACCGAACAGATCAGCTTTTGGGAGGACATTAGGGGTGGGTGCAGTTGGCTATGGAGGCTGCCAAAGGCTAAGTGCCCTGCATAGCTGAAGTGGAGGAAATGCTTTTTGCTAGCAGAATACAACAACTGAATAGAATCTAGTAGCTTTGCACTAGTTTTCGCATCTCTTCCCAAAGAGTCCTGGGATTTATAAGTTAGCAGAGGTACTGAAAATCCTCTGTTGGAGATCCTTACCTCTCATACAAAACTACTGTTTCCAAAGTCCAGGTGAAGCTTGTAAACCAATTGAAATTCTGGTACATTTATGGACTTAGGATACTTACGCTCTGGAACATGCAACTTGTGACTGCTAGACAAAAAGACTGCCATTTTAAAGTTGTTGCTTTTCAGTAGGAAATTGAAGAAAAGGAACTTTGCCTATGGATAAGAATGATAAGAAAGATCAATGTCATTTGATAAGATAAATGCTTATCAAATTGCACTGAATTTATCTGAATCATCTCACATGTGGAACATGGTTTGTTCTTTGATGGATGCAGCAATTTCTAGTTTTGTTCTCAGTTATAGGCAGAGATGGTAGCTGCTGTAGACTCGCATAGGTGCTGTAGAATCTGATGCTTTGCCAATCCTGTATGTGGTCCTTCTCCAAAATGCAGGGAAATATCATAGCATTAGATGAATGTAAATAGGGAAGCAAGCCTAAATTGCTTCTGTCAGTAATGACATAGTTTAAATAATGACTATGTATGAAAACTGATTTCCATTCAGGCATTGTACTGAAAGAGTGATAAGAAGCTATTGTGCCAATGATTTGAATGTATATCATCATTACAGGTGTTTCTGCACAGCTCACTAGCACGAGGCTGAGGAGAAACACATCAGTGGGAACCCCATTTTGGATGGCTCCTGAGGTGAGCTGTATCATTTGGCTTCTCTGTGTGTTTGTACCTCTGTAGAAAATTACTGTTAAGATTTATAGAATTTTGTAAACAGCCTAATAACCATAAATAACAGTTGGGAACTCTTTTACAAATAAGCAAACTAAGGTTGCAGTCCTATATCTGTTCACTTGTGAGTAAGCCCCATTAATGTAAGTGGGATATACTTTTGAGTAGACATGCATAGGCTTGTACTGTAAATGTTTGTGGAGCTAATAGAGGTGACCAAAAAGTTATGTGTCAAAAATCAGGAGGGAAAGAGAACTCAAATCTTTGCAGAGTATTAGTTTTCAAATAAGTCTACCTTATCCTGGCTCTGAAGAAATGGTTTCCATATGAGAAATTTAACTACTCCACCTCCTCTAAGTTAGTACCATTCCCTCTAATAAAATGAGCTCAGATTTTCTAAGATGGGAAGTGCTAGTGACACAGTGAAACCAAAGTAGGGCCATTGCAAGACAGCAAACAAGTAGCATGTTCAGGGGAATCCCAAGGTTTGCAAAAACATGAAAAAAATTATTTGAGGATGCAATCCTATGCATGTTTAAACAGAAAAGATCCCTACAACTGCCAGCATCCCTTCACCTAAACATGCTAGGAATTGTAGGAAATTTCTTCTACCTAAATGCCCTAAAATAAATAAATCCTGAGGGGGTAAATCATTCCAGAACACCCCAATGAGTTCTGAGCATGTTCACTAATGAAGTGGAGGTGGGAATGGAGTGGAACGGAGAACTCTTAGGGAGGGCTGACCAGATGGATCCCTAAACAGGGACACTTCTGCTAGGAGATGACAGTACAGTACAACATTTTTTTGCAAGTCCTATATTTAATAATTACACCTAATAATTTCATAGCTATTTTCTCAAGTGTTTATTTATTACATTTTATCCTACCCATCCAGACGTTCTGGGCAATATAGGCTATCCTTCCTTGCATTTTATCCCAGTAAGCTTCAAGGCTGAGTGTGGATTTGAACCCAGATCTTCTCATTCCTAGATCTACCAGTACTCTCTTCACTGCCTCTCACTGGCTCTCGCTTCATGCATTTAGTAGTCTTACTTAATAAGTCTAAGAAAAATAAGGCTTCTGCAAATGAGGGAAACGAGACTGTCACAGAGATATGGAGAGCCAGTGTGGTGCAGTGGTTAGAGCATGGGACTGGGACTCAGACGATCTGGGTTCTAGTCCCCGCTCAGCCATGGAGCCACCTGGGTGACTGGGCCAGTCGCAGAGTCTCAGCCCAACCTACTTCACAGGTTTGTTGTTGTGGGGATAAGATGGAGGAGGAGAGATGATGTAAGCTGCCTTGAGCCCTTTGTAGGAAAAAGGCAGGATATAAATCGAAAAATAAATAAATAAATATAGTGGGTTCTCTAAAGTCATTAGTTTTCAGTGGGAACATAGCTGAACTGAGGGTAAAACTAGTCATAATGCTAATAATGTGAATGGACATGTGTTATATGCAGGGAAGCATGATCAACTTTGGCCCCATGGGAATGGTCTGGCAAGGAAGTTTAACTCTTTTTCTCCATCCTGGCCCAAATAAAAAACTGCCAATCTGAAGCTGCTATTTGCAGGGACGTTCCAACTGACACCTTGAAACAGAAATAGCAACTTCTTGTTGAAATGTTGGTTGTTGTTGAACTGTGTGTTATGTTGTTTGAACTCAGTCAGTGTTTGTCAAGGCTGCAATTAATTTACAATAGAAATACCTTCTATATCTATGTTCAGTACTAACGATGGTAGTGAGGAAATGCTATTACAGGTAAAATAAGACTCTGCATCTTTAGTCTGGCTCTAGAAATTGAGACAGTTCGCAAAATTAAGCTGGCTGATTCTGTTCATCAACGTCCTCTAGCTAGTGGCAGTTTGGCATACTCTTGGGATTTTGAGCATCCCCAAAAGAGAAATCAGAATTATCCCACCCATTCTCACCTTGGAACCTCTAGCTTATTTCTGAGTAAGTCAAACTTATTTCTGAGTAAACATTTATTGTAGCCTTCCCCAGTGGTCCAGGTGTGCTGGATTACAAAAACCCATCAAATTCAACCAGTAAACTAAGGATGTAAGGTTTGCCATCCAACACATGGGAGGGGCATTATATAAACATAAACACATGTAATATTTTGTGCTATTACATGCCATTTAAAATTTCACACTGTTAGCAAGTCAAAGCATTGCCTGCCTGGGCCCTGGTAGAAGAACTAAATATGTAGGCAAGATGATATGTTCCTAAAGATGGCATCTCAATTTAAATAGGATGCCGTCTAGTGGAACAAACAGATGGGTAACATGTGTGTGTGTGCATGCATGTGTGTGTGAACATGCTTGGCATCCTATCTGAACAAGGACTCAGAAATCAGAGCTGTCTTTCCCTTGTCTTTTGCTTGCATTTTGCTTTTCACCCTCCATTATTCTTTGCTCCTCAAGAAAGGGAGAAATGGAGATGCTAGTGATAAATAGAATAAAGCATTACTACTGAAAACAACATCTGGCACATGAAGGATGACTTGCCATCTTTCCTGCCCAGGCAATCATTGTTCTGTGAACTTGCATTTCTACCAATACTTTCTATATCAGGAACTGTGTTGAACTAAAACTCCCAAGAGCACCAACAACCATGGCCTATTGTTAAGGGTTATGGGAGTTGTAGTCCAGAACATCCAGCACTGCGTTGCCCACCTCTGTTGTATAGCTCTTCTAATATCAGACTTCCATACCCCAGAATATCCTAATGCAAATACTTCCTTAAAATATGTTTGCTGAGATAAGCTATTTGATTACAGCTGTATTTCAAGGAATTCCGAAGAAGCTCAAGGATATCCTAGGAATAGCAGGATTCCTTTCCTTCTGTCATCAAAATCATATCTGAAAAAATAACTTGTATACCTTTTAGAAATGCAGTTCAGAGAGTACAGCAGAAGTAATAATGAATTAGCTGAAAATATCTGAATGCATTTTAATCTGAATGCATTTAAAATGCCTTTGTATCTTTAAATAGCATGAACAGTAAATATTATGTGTCTTGCAGGTTTAAAAATAGTTTAATCTTCAGTGAGAAACAGCCCTTTGAATAAGGCCTTTCAGCTAGAAACCCTGACTCTTGCTATAAAAGCAAAGCTTATCTAATTGTAACAGATCGTTTTGAAACATTTAAATGATAACCTATGATTTCAAACTTGTATTTAAAATAATCCTAGAACATTAGATGCTTGGTACCTCTAATGAAAATGCGTTGAATACTTTTTGATGGAAAAGCTAGTCTCTCCCAGCAGAAATGAGAGAGTTATGTAACTGAAATAGCAACTTCAGTCTTAATGTTTTAAAATTAATGGGAAATAAATCTTGCCCAAATCTAAAAAAGGATTTGCTCTCCTTTGTCCTTGTCTCTCCTTCAGCATCTCCTATTCACTAGTCACTGGCCCGCTTCATGGGGCTTAAGGTCAGCCCCAGGTTAATAGCTTTAGGTTTCTTTACTTCTTATTAAGCTAACTTTCCTTTCTCTGATCTGGATGGACATTTTGTTCTGTGCTTGAGTGCTGCTTGAATAAGAGGAAGAGTTTGTGTTAGCTAAATTCTAGGGAAATTATATAATTTATAGAGAAGTCAAGATATGCAAAGCCATTTAATTTTTTTGATGCCCTGAGGGTATGTGAAAGTAATCCTGCATGTACAGATTTGTTTCAATGGGGAAATAGAAAATAAAAATGAACAAGGAGATCTATACCTTCTGTGCTGAAAGAAAAGAATTTATAGAGAATGTGCATTAGCCTATTTCAAATACATAAAATTGAGAACATAATTTTAATATTCATTATGAGTTGTAATTCATAATGTAACTTTAATTTTGTAGACTCATTTCACTGTTTTATTACATTTTTGTGGATCAGGGCTAGTAAAATAGTAGTGATGATAATGGGCTTGTCATTCACATCCGCTGCTCCAGAGAAATAGAGGGTTGGACCCAGATTTATGCTGGACTGACTGTGCTAGTAGGAGTGGACCTGTCCATCCCAATCCCACACCCATCATTCCCCATGGCAGTCTTACTGGCCTCCTGAAATTGCTGCACAGAAAGACAGAAGACTGTGCTGAATGGGTTGAGTTCTGATTTATGCAAGGGAGGGGGCATCCCCAAAATTCAGGCAGAGGGTCTTCTGCAGATGGAACCCTTCCTCTTGTGGAACATCCCTTTCACTCACAGAAGGCAGGTTCTGGATTCACATAGTGTATGTGTTGAAAGAAGCATTTATTTTTCCCTTCAATTGCTATTGTTTTATTGAGTGTATTTGCATGTCACCCTGGAAAAAGTTACAGCTGGTTGGTTGCTGTGTGAATAATCCAGGGTATGCTCAACAAACAATGGGATATCCCATGGCTCTCCCTCCCTCTTGGTACTCCCACTGGTATCCCAGGTGCCCCCATGGCAGGACTGATTTACCTGCTATCCTCAGGCAATAGTAGTGAACCCTTTGGTGCTTGTCATGGGCTTTTTGTCCCTTTTACCCTATCTTTAGAGAGAGGGAGAGAGAGAGAGAGAGAGAGAGAGAGAGCTCTGATTGGACAGCTGGTGACAGCTACTTCAATGCGCCCAATTTAAAAAAAATAAAAATATGAAAAAAATGTGCACATTTAGGGTGATTTTTTTTAAAGATGTGATGAGCCAGTGTCAATCCCTTCATAGTGGACAGTCTCTTGTAGAACATCCCTTTCATTCACAGAAGGCAGGTTCTGGATTCACATGGTGTGTGTGTTGAAACAAACAAGATAGTACAAAATGGCATTCAATTATGGGGGAGAGTACAAAGCCAGTGCTGGTTGCCCAGATGTGAGTGGCTCATATTCCTGGTGGACTGCGCAAGCTTGGCAAAATTGGCATGGGGGGTGTTGCTGGTCTTGCCAAATGGTTTGTTACTTGATTCCTGATACTCTATATGGGGTCAATCACCCACGTTTGGAAGGCAGGACAA